TTGTTTGTCGTATGTGTATTGTGTGACTGAAAAATAAGTGTGTGGGTGATCTGATCTTTAACTTTCGTGATGCTGCTCGAGTGGTTCAGAGTTGTTGTAACTGTTTGTCTTTATCTGAGGAATTTCCTCTTCTCGATAACCATGTTAGCTTTTGCTTGAATGATTGGGAACCTGCCCCGGCTTGGTTTCGAAACAATAAGAATGTGGTCTATCCGCGCCATTTCGACGTTATAGGGAGGCTGAGGCGTCAGATCATGTCGTCCTTTTCTGTTCTTGACTTTATTGTTCCTAAGTTGGATTGGCGTTTTGTCGCTAGTTGTTGTGCGGGTTTGGATGAATGCATTCGTGACTGTTTTGAGGAGAATGCCACCTCTTGGGCTGGGAGGTCGGATGGGTTCGTGCGGGTGTCGATCGACCATAATCCTGGTGACACTTATGTTTGTTGTCCTTTGTTTTATCAAAGAGGTAAAAATATTATGTTCCACGACAATCTGGGTTTCCGGTCCATTGATCTCGACGAGAATCTTCTTCTGCAACACGCTAAGGAGTCCTATGAACAGATGGGACTCCAAGAGTTGGCTAGATGGGATGGTAAGGGGGAGATTGACAAGTCCTATGTGATTCTGAAACATAAGGACGTGAATCGGTGGCGACCGATTTGTCCTTCATTCAGTGAATGTGGCGTGCGTGGTTGTCGTAAGGTTTCTCGCTCGGTGAACTCCATGATTTGGAGCTTTAACTGAAGGGCTCACACTTCAATCTGAAAAGCTCCGATCTCCTGACAAATTTGCTTAAGTTGGTAAATAAAGACTTGGGGGAAGGGGATGCCTTGCTCACGGCAGCCTTTGACATTAAAGAGATGTTTTGCAATCTCCCTCATGCCTCAATTCTTAATGCATTGGATTGGGTTATTGATTCTTGAGAGGGTAAGAAGGCCAAAGGTGTATTGCTAAAAAAACGGGGAAAAAATGCTAAAATTCTGAAAGGCAAGAGACAGGAGGGTTGGGACTTTTTTGACTTTGATGTCATTCACAATTTTGTGAGGTTTGACTTGTTATATACCTTAATTCGGGTCAACGAAACTATTCCTCAACAAATTGTCGGTATTCCCATGGTCAAACTCTTTAGTCCAGCCATTGCCTGCTTTTTGTGTATCTATTCTAAGTCCACCTTCCTTAACTCTCTTGGGAAGGATTGTGCGTTGGTGCACGGTATCCGTCTAATTGACGATGTTTCAATTTTCATCAAGTATCACGAGAGGGATGATTTTTCTCTTCGGAAAGCTGGTGATATTTTGGCAGAATTTACTTATTGTTATGATCGGAATTGACTCTGAAGCGTACTAGCAATTCTGAGTCATGGGATTTCCTAAGCTGTGTTTTGCGTAACTTCGGTTGGCCTGGGGGTGTTCAATGTGCTGTGGTTCACAAAAATCAATGAACTGTTTTCGAAAAGGGTTTGTGCTTCCAGAGCATGCATGATAATTGTTCCTACGTGAGTAAGAAACAAAAGATGGTCGTGGTTGGCTCCTTTTTTCATCGAGCTCTTTGGTTTACGAGCATGCCAGTTGTTGAGGTGGTCTTTCTGTTCACCTTGAAAGTTGACTTGAGGCTTCGGGGATTTCCGGGTGAAATCTTCGATAAATCCTTGTGTAATTTTTCTTTGAAATTTGGGGGTTTGTGAGATGAATGGGTTCAGTGTTTGACTGGTTGGGATAAAATTCGGTTTCAAATGTGGGTTTTGGGTAAAGATGGCCCAAATGGGAAGGGGGCACTTCACATATGATGGCTTGCTACTTGGATTCTTCGTTTTTTGTTGGGTTCCCTGGGTTCGAAGTTGGGTCTTCTAAGGTTCACTGGGGTTCGGGCCTGCGATGTGTTTTTCTACCTTGGCTTGACTTGGTTGCCCCCCCCCCCCCTTGTGGTTTCGATCCTATGACTTGTTTTTTACTCTATTCTTAGTTGGGCCCTTGTGGGTTCGATCTAGCGACCCATCCTTTCTCTGGTCCGTGACCTCCTTTGGCCTCCGGGATTCGAACTGGTGATTCGTACTTTGTTGTTTCAGTTGTAGGTCTTCTGTTGGTACATGGTAGTGGGGTCGGCGGGCCTTCGCTGGTTACGGTCTGTTAGGATTCGAGTTGTGGACCTTGTGGGAATAATAGTTGTTTAACGTGTACCCTCTCTTTGAGTAGGCTTTGGCTGACTCTAAAACTTTCAAGTGCTTTGTTTGCTTCTTCTTAAACCACGAGTACCTCGCTTAGCTAACAAGTACGAGGCTCAGACTATCGGTAGCCCGATCATTCCCGAGACTTTATTGCCAAGCCTCAAACAACTGGTAGTACATCCCAAAAAAACAACAACAACAACATTAAAAAAAAATAAAAAATAAAAAAAATAAAAAAAATAAAAAAATCAGACGTGCCCAACAAGAATGAATCTTCCTCCACTCGGATAAAGAGGAAGATTCATTCTCGTGAGAGGTTCACTGAGAGAGAGAGAGAGAGAGAGAGAGAGAGAGAGAGAGAGAGA